AAAATGGCGGAGTTTTTAAGAAATTTTTCGATTGTTCCTTAAAAAAATTGTCGTTTTTTTTGTTGCTAAAATTACAGTATTCATCCAATCAAGAATATCCTACGTCCAACAATAAAGCATATCTAGAACACTCTGTTAAAATTTCAAGTTAATCGGATAATTGTTGTTTGAGTTATAGTGTCAGCAAATTTGAAAAATACCATTTCGAAAAAAATTAGCAGGAACCCTCCCACCATTTCGAGAAAAGCTAGCAGGAACTCTCCCACCCTCCAAATAGCAGTTTGGATATACCTGCCTTAGTTACAATTAATACTATTTGAACTGAACAGTTCGTTTATCAGAAACAGACGGAGCTAGAAGAAGATAGAAGCGACGATGACGAACGGATAGGAACCGAGTTCGACAGCCATCTCGGTATTCAACGTGTCACAACGAATCTATTCGGTTGTTACAGCTGTCGAAACTATGAAATTCAATGCACCGAATTTGCATGCTAATTTGACCGACGCGACGTAAGCTTAGCGTGTACGGACCACGTGGATTCGTCTGAGTTGTAATTCAATGAAGACACTAACGTTGTTGGCTTGCCATAATCGAATAACTCGGTCAATTCGCGAAGTTCAACGACTTTAACAACCTGTACACAGACACACCGCGCAGATTCATTGTATACATATATACAATACTTATATGATTATACATATACAACCCTTATTCAAAAATATAGCACACATGTACTTATCTTTAATTTCTCAGTGATTTTATCTTTTAAAAGTCAGGGATTTTGTGAAACTGTACTTTTAATTAATTGTACTATGAAATTATAAGTCGGGCGGTTCAGTTTTAGGAAGTTACATTATCTGATTATGTGTGTGTGGTAAGCAAAAACTTATACATGTACATATATGTATGCTATTGGCGAAATTATAGCATACTCCATCTGTACGTTTATTTAGTAAAGTATAATTTTTTAGTATTTAGCGATAGAAAATTGCAAATATAAAAATATTATAATAGGTACCAGTGGGAATACATATAGAGCAGATTCTCGTATTATATGAGCACGATTTGTGTGCAGTTTCGCGGGTTAACAATAAAGCATATCTAGAACACTCTGTTAAAATTTCAAGTTAATCGGATAATTGTTGTTTGAGTTATAGTGTCAGCAAATTTGAAAAATACCATTTCGAAAAAAATTAGCAGGAACCCTCCCACCATTTCGAGAAAAGCTAGCAGGAACTCTCCCACCCTCCAAATAGCAGTTTGGATATACCTGCCTTAGTTACAATTAATACTATTTGAACTGAACAGTTCGTTTATCAGAAACAGACGGAGCTAGAAGAAGATAGAAGCGACGATGACGAACGGATAGGAACCGAGTTCGACAGCCATCTCGGTATTCAACGTGTCACAACGAATCTATTCGGTTGTTACAGCTGTCGAAACTATGAAATTCAATGCACCGAATTTGCATGCTAATTTGACCGACGCGACGTAAGCTTAGCGTGTACGGACCACGTGGATTCGTCTGAGTTGTAATTCAATGAAGACACTAACGTTGTTGGCTTGCCATAATCGAATAACTCGGTCAATTCGCGAAGTTCAACGACTTTAACAACCTGTACACAGACACACCGCGCAGATTCATTGTATACATATATACAATACTTATATGATTATACATATACAACCCTTATTCAAAAATATAACACACATGTACTTATCTTTAATTTCTCAGTGATTTGATCTTTTAAAAGTCAGGGATTTTGTGAAACTGTACTTTTAATTAATTGTACTATGAAATTATAAGTCGGGCGGTTCAGTTTTAGGAAGTTACATTATCTGATTATGTGTGTGTGGTAAGCAAAAACTTATACATGTACATATATGTATGCTATTGGCGAAATTATAGCATACTCCATCTGTACGTTTACTTAGTAAAGTATAATTTTTTAGTATTTAGCGATAGAAAATTGCAAATATAAAAATATTATAATAGGTAACAGTGGGAATATAGAGCAGATTCTCGTATTATATGAGCACGATTTGTGTGCAGTTTCGCGGGTTTCATCGGAGCGCTATAGTCGTTTTTGCACTGAAATTACCAATCCGTTGGTAAATTCAAGTAATGTGTACACAAATTCATTTTGCAACTAATGAATTGCAATCCAAATAAACTATTCTCATTATTGAACGCAAACATAGGATCACTATTTAGTGCCACGTAGTGTTCTATTGTCACGATCCACTTTATAACTGTTTCATACTAATTCACATATTTCAAACGTTCTCGTTATCGTTAATTTTAAAGTAATCCAGAATTTATTTCTTAAATTGGTGGTGAAATTTTCGATCAATTCGTAATGTCTGAGATCGTAATAAAATGGAGAATCAGTGGTGATTCAAGTTGAGAAGAACGAATTAACAATTGCAGCGACTCGTTTTTATCTTATTACAGTTATTTTGGCACGATGAAACTCATCCCAGCAAGCAGGTTAATTCGGACCGTGGTATTAACGACGTAATTCCATTTAACGTTAAACCAGCGGCAGAGAGAAAACGCACGAGTACGAAGCGAGATAGCTGACTAAATAATGTTTTCCAGTACAAAACCCAACGTCAACCGATAAGCAATCGCAAGAATTATAATAGCGTTTAATAAATATATTTAGAGAACGGATAATAAGTCAGCGTGCTTATGGCGCGTCGTACCGGTGTATTTCCTGCTACGAAATTATTGTCTACTTTCGAGAAGATATAGATTTCTTCACATATTCTTCCATTTCGCCTACTCTTACCAAGGTGAAAAAATAGAGACGATCCCTGTTGCGCAAAATATTTCAGCAATTTCGCAGCCGTCGCGAAACGTAGACGTAACTATGCGGCTTCCGAAGCGAGAATGCATTACCGAAGGTTTCAGAGGTTTCGCGGAATATTTTAAATAGCTCGCGATCCTTTCTTTCATTTTCTGTTAAAAAATTTGAAGAATTAAGACGTTTAATTTGTATTTAGGATATCAGCGTGATTCTACGCAGGTTCCCCATATTATCGAGATATTTCAACATCTGTGTGTGTAATGTGTAAGCAGACTCGTATCCACACTGATACGCAGCATATCGCCAATAAAAAGGCTCCTGTCATGTTAAATAAATTTCGTTTTTCACGAAGTTGTCTAGTTGCCAGATGATACCAAGTAATCGCAATCAAAATTATCACGGGTTTATACTCATTGTCGGTCAATAGAGACAGTTTCGTCTGCTACCCGCTTCGACAATCGTTGTGTCGAGTATCTATTGACTAAAGAAAGGAACGAAGTACCAGGTGGAATTTACGAAAGGCGTTTAAAATGAAGAAGTGGAGGGTGGTGCCAAAATGGGAGAAGAGGAAGAAACAGAAACAAATTGAAAGAAACGTTTAGGTAAAAGAAAAAGATTTTTAATATTGTATTTATTTCGGTTATTGCATGGTATGTCCAAAATGATGTGGTGCGTTTAAACATTGTTCTTAATGTTGCATTATGATTAGACTTAAATACTACGTAATTGATGTATATTATGTTCGGAGTGAATAACGTAAGTATCGACATGCCCGTTGTCTGAATTGTGCAGTAGTAGAGGCAGCTATTAAGTCAGACAATGCATACATTAATATTTAATTCTTCATTATTTCATTCAATGTGTCAGTTCTAGTAATATATGTATGTATTAATAATTCATATCTATACGTATATATCGAGAACAACTGTATATACTAAATGTACAATACGTATTTAATAAAATAATATTAAAATAAAGAAAAGAAAACAACAGTGTAACTTTTCTATGTATAATATTTGTGGGTTCCTCGATTACAAAAGTAATAAAATTTATTCGCGTTGATTTTATCAATTATGCTACATCAATGTGACAGTTCTTACATTTTTGTTAATGATTAATTTAGCATTGTGTCCGAACGACGCAATTATAGCATGGCATAATGGCATGAAACGCAATTTCCGGTTCTCTAAATAATTACGCACATAATTGATGCGATTGCAGTGTAATTAAATTTATTGTTAGATAGTATGATTGTTTCACAATTAAATCCCAATTGCAATTTCTAATCAGCGTGATTCTCTTATCTCCGTTTGATGGGTCTTAGTCAGTCCTTAAATGATCGATACTTCTATTAATTAAACTCACGAATAACTGCTAAGACTGAACTTTCAAAAAAGATTCAAGATATTAAAATTTACTTAAGGCAGCCCATCCATGATAGAACTGACAATCATATTCTGATAAAATTTGGTGTATTTTTGGATAAAACTTTTAAAAAGACGTGGTTAAATTTGTAGAGATTCAGAATACTTACATATTATAAAATATGTAGAAACAAAATATTTAATAACTTTTCTTTTAGACAGTCTCATTCTCGAAAAATTTAATCACGCCGTTTTAAAAGCTTTAGCCAACACGCTTGTAGTCACGCCTCTGTGAACGCTTTATCTCATAAAAATATGATTATTAATTTTATCGAATCGTCAATACCCGACGGCAGCGTGCACATACTTCTGTTTTTGGTGAAACTAATATCTAATCGATTAAAACATGGTGCCTTCTGAACGGACTGGTATTAATATCGATTTTATCCGTTTCAAATTTATTTTATTACAATTTAAATTTTCTTGCTTGAAAGTAATTGAATGCATTAAAATGTAAATAACATTTGAAACCGTACAAGGAGGCCGCACATTCCAAACCTCTGGTATAGTGGTATACATGCATGCTGTTAAAAAAGTAGAAGATCCACAAACAGTTCGATCAAACGATACGACATTTTGACTGAAACCGTAGTTTTACGGAAACTAGCGTTCGTACGTTTTCGTATTTTCGAGTAATATCTACACTCGATACACTACACACCCGCTAGAGTTTACGATTTGTTTACATCGCATGCGCAGTGTGTGTTTCGCAAGCGCAGCAGACGAGTACAGGGAGTTCGTCCAGTCGTCCGAAAGCGTGCGAATGTTTTGCGTCTCTCGTGAGTTGTTCGTGAAACTCGTCTCGCGGCGGATATCAACAATATCCGAGGTGCACATTTATCGATATCATCGACGTTCAATCCAACTGCTCTGTTGTTAAGAAGAAAAAGTGTGATTCTTTCATTCGCATCGCGTCAAGTTTTCGGTTTAACTTGCCGTCTTTCGTTTTGGCGCGAATAAGCTCGAAGACTATTCGCGAACAGTATCGGCGTTGTTCAGTCGAAATACTCGAAACGTCAATTCTAATAAAAATATAAAATGGAAATCTAACATAACATTTGATTGGACCATTAAGAGTCTTATAACTCATTCAGTAGATGTTTATGTGTCTATTTATTAGTCTAGTTAGTTTCTTGATCACTATGCATGCTATTCAGTGTCCCATTGACAGTTTCCATTTAGATTGAAAATTATTCCGAAGTAGGACAATCGTGTGGGAAACAGCATACATATAGTAGAATTAAGTATGTAATAGAATCGCGTGTGTGAATCAGGAAATCGTATTAGACTAGATCGTTGTTCTAAACGCGAAGGTATTTGTTATATTAGTTCAAGAGACTAATGTACTCGTACTCAATAATATTATGAAGTGTTTGTGAATTGATGAAACTTTGCGTACAATATTAGACTAAGACGAGAACTTTGGAAGTTAGTGCACCGTGAAAGGATTACAAGGATCACTGAATCAGAGCATCATTCAACGCATCAAAGGTATGTTGAGATATCAGTTTGTGTTTGAAGAATTAAACATGCAGAATAATGGAGGAGCATGTATTGGGGAGTGATTACACCCTTTTCTATCTCAATTCAATATTTAGCACATGTCTTGTTATTTAATTTATAAAAAATTTAATTTAATTTATAAAAAAGCATTATGTTTTTATTCACAATGAGTAATCTGATTTCATAGTAAATTACGCACGTTGAAACATGTTGCATCGAGATCGTTTATGAAAACTGTGATAAGTTCAGTTTGCCTCCATATTATCGATTCTTCTTACAATCAGTTTGTTATGAATTAGAAACCGCGTAACAGTCTCTAAGATGTTGAATTCTGCTCATATGAGCCTGCCTGATTTGTATTCTACCGTCTCGAACGAATTATAAAATATGGTAAAAGTTAATGTTTACTTATTAATTTATTTATTAATTTTATTTATTACGTCGATTTGCAAGAACCTTTATTTATATACATAAAAATATAAATCTGAACGAAGAGTAGAGTTTAAGTAATTCACAGACAAATTTAAACATTTAAATATAAGAACAGGAAGAACAAATGTTTATTGTTAGTGTGAGGGGAGAGAGTAAGAATATAGTTTCCGCCTACTGACATGACTGCAGTCATTGAACATATCGAATAAGTGACTTAGTTTATTAACCTTCGAGGCTAATCTAGTCGTTACATTCAAGTGCCCAAAACTGGATTTGTATCTTTCAATAAAGTGCAATCATTCGTTGGATATAGCCACCAGTTGGGCTGGCTAGAGATGTATATGAAAGTACATGTAAGTATGTGCAGGGTGTGTATTGGCGCGAGTTGCGTTCGAGAGTCGTTGGAGATAGTTAGTTAGTTAGTTAGTTAGTCGTAGTTATTTACACGTTTCACTAGTTGTACACATATAATAAATCAATATTCTAATAAAGGGTCATTATTATTATAAAAGAAAGCTTTAGAAGGTCTTAGGCAGCGTGAGGGTGGTATTGAGTTTGATTTGTGCCAATAAGGGAAGAGAATCAACATTGTAATTTAATAAGTTTCACAAGAAATCAATTTCCAATATCGTTCTTCTCTCCTCAAGCGTAATGATATTAAATAAGCATGATTAAAGAGTAGTGATGATCAGTATAGCTCACGGGAGAGTTAGTCAACGAAGATGGATGACGTGAAAATTTGTGTTGAATAATCTGCAAAAATGCCTGATAATGTTTCTACGTATTATTATTTATGAATCTCGAGCAGATAAAATTACATACATATGTCGTCGACGCGATGTAGGAACAGCACAAAGTACCGCGCGTTCTGACATATTTTTAATTAAAATTCAATGGGACGGATCTTTTATCGAAACAGGTTGGACAAGTTGTGAAAGCTTGTTTCGTTAGCCGATAATAGCGAAATAACGTTGTTATTTAAAGTTTTTTATGACTATACGTAGTGAAGAGTTTCGAATGAAATATTTATCCACTACGCAGTGCATTTAAAAACAGCGGATTTATCTCTCATATTATTTAAATATATGGATATTCTTAAACATACTGGTTCCAATAGGAATCGTATCGGTGTGTAATACAATATTTGCTCTGCTCCCGAGTATTAACTAATTTACGCGGCACAAAGCACAATGCAATTTCAACGGATACGTAGAACAGGTTTGTTTTCGTTTTTATACCTTCGGGTCACGCGGACAAAGTCATTACCCCTCAGCTCAGTATCGGAGGGCTCGGCTAATTGAAATTCGTATAACGGACAGCCTACCGTTGCATCGCTCCGGGCGAGAACGTATCATTTTTTTCTCGACATTCTCTTTTTACATAGGATTTAATTTTCATGCGTCGCGTCGTTAATGTCACAGTGACACTTTTGTATTCCGTGTATACGCGTGTACATATTGGCTGGTCGATGTTATTGGTATGCTCTAAGGTTGTTCATGAATAACGAATGTTCCTTCGCGTCGTCCGCTTGGTTTCATCGAATATCGGTAAATTAGGTTTTAACGGTAATGACTTTTCATTGACAGTGATTGGCAATTCGGTAGGCCGGGTTAATTGCTCCATTAAACGGCCAAGGTGGCTCCCGAGAGCTGAGCATCTTACGGGTCTCGTTAACGCTTTTAGCTTGCCACCACGTTCCGGATTAAAGGAGACGAGATTCATAGATAACAATATTTATGCGTTTAAGCCGGTCTTTGAGCTTAGAACTTGCTCTAGGCAATCTTATTTATTAGAGACCAGAATGCGGGCGTTTATCTTGTTGGCCGTACAATAGGGTAGAAAAAGGACGAGATTTGTCGATATACATGTACACGAAATTCGTTGATTCGTTCTTGCATAAGTGAATTTGAATCCTTTGACCTAAACAAACGTATTTAATCACGCGTAATTATATATTCGCATGATAAAGGATCACTGCTTATATGTTCGCATGATAAAGGATCACTGCTCTAACGTTTTCCGTGTTTCGTAAAGGTTGGTTTCAGTCATTTTTCTCTAGCCGAAATCCATAACAATAGTTCGCTAATTAAACTGACAATCGAAGTAATATTGTTCCGTGGTGCGATCGACGATCATTGTTAGAAGTCCTGAATTTAACAATTTAAAATCTCGGAGAGTTCTTTCCATTAACGATACAAAGGAGGAGAGTGTTTAAAGCTTGCGAACAGCGTGTACACTGCACTCCCGACGAGCCTCAACTCGGAGAAAAGCTTAGGTGTGTCGCGCATAAATCACCTCCGAGAGTTTCCACTTAGATTCGACAATTTGGTTTTGCCGCTGGTGGTGCATGCGGGTATTAACGATGGCTGTACGATTAATTTCCATGGCCGTAGTCGGTGGAACACATGAAACTCGCATACGCAAGCAAGCTACGGGGATAGGTATACCCTCCTCCGTCTCGTGGAGGGATGAGGGTCGATTTCGTAACAACGACTCAGCGCGTTTAACGTCTTCCACCGTGCCACCGTAATAAAGAGCTTCATAATTTAAAGCGACCTGTCTAGATAGGAACTTATAAATTGTTTCAGCTGGCAGGGTGGTCAGCATTATCGCGTAATCGGAATTACGAATGCCGGGTGGCTTCTCGAACCTATTCCTGTGTCCTCCTACCCCTTATACACACACCCTTGAGCATGGCATCTTTATTGTTTTCCACATAGCCATGGTATCATCTCTCGCGCGTGCATAGTATACAAATGAGGGGGCCACGTCGAATCTCTATAGTAGAACGAAATTGTTGCACGACAGAGCTACAATTGTTTCAATAGATACTACATGCATACAAATAATTAGAATATTCACAATGGTTGAAATAAATCGGTCTTCATTTATGAAATTTTCTTATCTGTACTCGAAGTTCATACAGTCTCCGGACATGTGGCCGCGAGTCATGCTCATTAATTTTTGGAAATACTCGCGAACAAACGACTCTCGAGTTTGGTCAATGTTTCTTCTCCTTGTCTTTCTTTTGTTTGGAATCATGAATTATTAATACTTATTAATTTCAATTCAGCAAACAGTAGAAAAATGAATGAAAATGTAATAAATATTACACAGAATGTTTTAGGTAAAGGTGGCCATTTAAATATCTTCTATTTCGTATGTTCTCAAAATACTGGAGATGAATATAAAAAAGGTAACATGAATTATACGGTTGCAAAGGAAATATGTATATCCTGTAACAGAAATTTGTTTTGTGTGCTGATGTTTTTTATTTTTTATGTAAAATATGTGTACTTTTGTCTATTGTATCGTGTGGCGGATGCAAAAATACATTCCGATATATTCAAATGTAACAGCCTCGCGTGTAACAGCTTTCGGTCTTTGATGTTTTCCGTTTTCGACGCTACCGTTCTGCTACCGTTTGTCATAACATAAAAAACAAAAGAGATATTTAGTTGAGAACAATTAAAGGNCTTCTCCTTGTTCGGAATCATGAATTATTAATACTTATTAATTTCAATTCAGCAAACAGTAGAAAAATGAATGAAAATGTAATAAATATTACACAGAATGTTTTAGGTAAAGGTGGCCATTTAAATATCTTCTATTTCGTATGTTCTCAAAATACTGGAGATGAATATAAAAAAGGTAACATGAATTATACGGTTGCAAAGGAAATATGTATATCCTGTAACAGAAATTTGTTTTGTGTGCTGATGTTTTTTATTTTTTATGTAAAATATGTGTACTTTTGTCTATTGTATCGTGTGGCGGATGCAAAAATACATTCCGATATATTCAAATGTAACAGCCTCGCGTGTAACAGCTTTCGGTCTTTGATGTTTTCCGTTTTCGACGCTACCGTTCTGCTACCGTTTGTCATAACATAAAAAACAAAAGAGATATTTAGTTGAGAACAATTAAAGGTATAAATCATAACATATTTTATGAATTTATAACTAGTAGACGTTTGCGGGCTCATAATCTCATAAAATATTGAAGCACCAATTGAGAGTAAAAGAGTATATGAACGCTTGTCACATATGTACATTACCTCCAGAGGAATATCCCTTTATGTATTAAAAAATTTATCCCGGCGGTACCCCCGATTACTCTGACGGAATTCAAACCGAAGGGATGATCGAACTTTTAAATATGCATCGATCGTTTCGCTTTCCGGTGAGAGTTTCGTATGGTAGCTAGACGTACTGTATGGCAGACGACGACGGCGACTTACCCGTTACCTGCGGAAGTACCAAACTATAAATTTTTCGAAGTTTTACGAGTCAGTCCGAAAAAGTATTCACGATTCCTATAAGAGAAACCGTTTATATTTGAGGAAAACATACCGGTCTCTAAGGTATGTTCCCACATATGTATGTATATGTATATGTATACCTTACGTGCGAATTGATGCACATCCTCTCTTTCTGCTTTCTCTTCTGCAGCTCACATATACCTACACCTATCTCACCTCTTTGTACCTTTTCAATTCGCGATGAAACCGTTTCTGTCGCTGTATATCTGTATCTGAAGCTCGCGTACTGCTATGT